GCCGGCAAGCGGCTGGAGCGCAGCCAGGGCGCCTTCGTCCGCCGCCTGCCCCACGCGCCAGGTACCGCCCCGCTGTCCCCCGCTGTCCCCCGCTGTCCCCCGCTGTTCCCCACTGTCCCCGGCCCTGCGCGCGCTCACGGTGCCGGCGCCTGCAGGGCTCCTGCTCACGCTCAACACCTCCGAGCGCTACCAGCGCGTCAAGGGCTTCGGCGGCTCCCTCTCTGACGCCGCTGCCATCAACATCCTGGCGCTGTCGGCGCCGGTGCGGGAGCGGCTGCTCCGCTCCTATTTCTCAGAGGAAGGTGAGTGGTGGGCGCGGGGCCGGGGCCRCGGCGGGGGACGCGCCGCTGCAGGCTGTGCCGTGCTGCAGGCATCGAGTACACGCTGCTCCGCGTGCCCATGGGCTGCAGCGACTTCTCCGAGCGCCCCTACAGCTACGCCGACGTGCCCCACGACTACGAGCTGCGGCACTTCCAGCTGGCCGAGGAGGACACGAGCATGAAGGCGAGCGGGGCCCAAGGCGCCCGTGGTGGCACCAGGTCCTGCGGTGGCTTYGGCGCCCGTGGGGCCAGTGCTGAGCGTGTCCCCGGTTGCGCCCCCCAGATCCCCATCCTGCGCCAGGCCCTGGCCATGTCCAAGCGGCCGCTGTCGCTGTTCGCCAGCCCCTGGACAGCGCCCGCCTGGCTCAAGAGCAACGGCGACGTGCGYGGCAAGGGCACGCTCAAGGGGCACGCGGGCGACAGGCACCACCGCACCTGGGCCAACTACTTCATCAGGTGGCAARGGGACCACGGCGGGGCTCGCACGACGGCTGGGGGGTCCCGCGCAGCGCCGCTCATGCCCACGCTGTGAGCAGGTTCCTGGACGAATACGCCAAGCGCAACGTGACCTTCTGGGCGGTGACGGCGCAGAATGAGCCGCGGGCGGCGCTGCTGGCGCCCGCCGCCTTCCCCACGGTGGCCTTCAGCGCCGCGCAGCAGCGCGACTTCATCGCGCACGACCTGGGCCCGGCGCTGGCGCGGAGCCCGCACGCCGCCCGCGTCCTCATCCTGGACGACCAGCGCAGCCACCTGCCCGCCTGGGCGCAAGTGGTGACGAGCGGCTCGTTGYGGGGGGGACACGGGGCGTGGAGCGGTGCGCGGGACCGGTGCCAGCGGCCCCGTCTGCGCCCGCCAGGTCCTGGGCAACGCGAGCGCCGCGCGGCACGTGCTCGGCGTCGGCGTGCACTGGTACCTGGAYGCGCTGGTGCCGGCGCGCTGCAGCCTGGAGGCCACGCACCGGCTCTTCCCGCGGCACGCGCTGCTCTACACCGAGGCGTGCAGCGGCTTCCTCACGCTGCGCTTTGCCGTGGCGCTGGGCTGCTGGCAGCGTGGCGACAGCTACAGCCACAGCATCCTCACGGTGCGGCCCGGCACGGCGTGGCGCGGCACGGCGCAGCCCGGCACGGCGCGGTACCGCCCGCCTGCCGCCACGCTCAGCCCCTGGCCTGCGCCCCTGCCAGGTCCTCAACAACTACGTGACCGGCTGGACTGACTGGAACCTGGCGCTGGACCTGGAGGGCGGCCCCAACTGGGTCAAGAACTACGTGGACAGCCCCGTCATCGTGGACCGCCACAAGGACGTCTTCTACAAGCAGCCCATGTTCTACCACCTGGGGCACTTCAGGTGGGCCGGCGTGTCCGCGCCGCTTGTCCCCGACGTGGGACGCTGGCGGCAGCTCCTGCAGCGCCCGCTCCTCCCCTTGCAGCAAGTTCATCCCCGAGGGCTCGCRGCGCGTGGGCCTGGCCAGCAGCCGCCGCTGCCTGCTCTGCAACCTGGAGCACGTGGCCCTGCTGCGGCCCGACGGCACCGCCGTCCTCGTTGTCCTCAACAGGCGAGCGGGCGGCTGCACCGGGCGGGCAGGACCAGCAGCAGGAATTGCACAGGGTGGCCGGCGGGGGCGGGATGCATGGCATGGGGCCAAGGGGATGCACACATCCAGGGAGTGCAGGGGTTYGAGGGGGTGTACAAGTCCGTGGGATGCACAGGATATATTGGTGCAGCAATTGCACAAGATGCCCAGGTCTGGGGGTGCATGGGAGCAGGGGGTGCAGGGCACATATGGGGTGCACAGGATGGCTGGGGTGGGGGTCACCCTCAGCCATCCCAGCCTCGCCAGTCCCCTCTTGCCCCGCCAGGTCTCCCTGGGATGTTCCCTTCGCCATCTCGGACCCGGCCGTCGGCTTCATCGACACGGCGGCTCCCGCTCACTCCATCCAGACCTACCTGTGGCGGCGGCAGTGAGGCTGCCGCCTCCGGGGCCGGGCCGTGTGCGCTGCGTGTGCACCCTGTRTGTGCTCCGTGTGCGCTCCGTGTGTGCCCTGTGTGTGCTCTGTGTGCACTCCGTGTGCGCTCCGAGCGCGCTGGGTGCGTGCTCCGTGTGCACCCTGTGTGTTCTCCATGTGCGCTCCGAGCATGCTCCATGTGCACTGCGTGTGCACTCTGTGTGCACTCTATGTGCGCTCTGTGTGCACTCCGTGCATGCTCCATGTGTGCTCCGTGTGCGCTCCATGTGCACCCTGTGTGTGCTCCGTGTGCACGCTCAGTGTGTGCACCATGCATGTTCCATGTGCACTCAATGTGCACTCCATGTGTGCTCCGTGCATGCTCCGTGTGCACTCCGTGTGTGCTCACAGCTGCAGCCGGGACCTCCCGCCTGCACCAGCCACGAATTCACTCGCCCTGTGCCCCGCTCCTTTGCTGCCCTCGAGTTTTCCTTTGCTATTCGGCATTTTGCGGCCACAATTCCCGCGGAGCCCGGCCCGGTGCTGCCTCCACGCAGCCTCAGCCGGCGGCTCCTGGCAGCTGCAGGGCTGCRTGAGCCGGGACTGCACCCTTTGGGAGAGGGATGGGGAGAGAGATTTGGTGGCGCCGGCACCGGCTGCACTGCGGGGGTTGGAACTGGGATTCGCGCTCCGCGCTGCTCCAGACACGGCTGCACAGCCAGCTCAACCGCGGACCGCGGGCGGCCCTGCGGCTCATCCTCGATGGGGCCCGGAACGTCCCGGGGCACCCGGCGAGCTCGGCCACGCGAGCGGCACCGCCAGGCGGGCCGGCACGGGCAGCTCCGGCGATGCCGAGCGGAGGCGCCTGGCTCCACCCGGCAGCGGGGTGGCCGCGGGCGGTGCAGGGGGGTCCCATCCACACCCCCATCCCCACGGAGGGCACTGGGCGGCCACGGGCGGCACAGGGGGACCCATCCGTGTCCCCATCCCCACAGAGGGCACTGGGCAGCCACGGGTGGCACGGGGGGACCCATCCGTGTCCCCATCCCCATGGAGGGCACTGGGCGGCCACGGGTGGCATGGGGGGATCCCATCCATGCCCCCATCCCCATGCAGGGCGTGGGTGTTGGGTGGGCTCAGGGCGCACAAGGAACCAGGGCGCAGGAGCGGCCGCGTCCCATTGGCGCTGGCGGAGCCTCCCCGGGACGCCGGGGGCGCAGGCGGCGCCGGCCCCCGCCCCGCGCTCGCCTTTCCTGCTCGGTGAGCGCCGGGCGCCACCGCCCACAGCCAGAGCCGTCGCCAGCAGGTAGGAGCCGCGGCCGCCGCGCGGGGCTCTGGCCACGCCAGGGACCCCAGGGCCAAACGGGGGGCTCGGCCACCCCGGAGCAGTGGCGGGAGGTCCGGGAGCGGCGGGGCTGCGGGCACGCGGGACGGACGTGCGGGCGCGGAGGCCGACGTGCTGCGTCCCGCGCAGGGCAGGGCAGGGCAGGGCAGGAGCCYGCGGCCGTTGCGGCTCCCGCGGCCGGTCCCGCTCCGCTGCGGCACCATGCGCTCCCGCTGTGCCAGCCTGCTGGGCTGCCTGCTGCTGCTGCAGGCGGCGCTGGCCGCGCCAGGTAAGGACCAGAGCAGCCCATCCC